CCTGCTGGCTGGCTTGGCCCAGGGCCCTGGCCGCTGACCAGGCTGCGCACAGGCCTGTGGTTGTAGCACCAGGCAGCAGCCTCCGCCGGCAGCCCCTCTCATTCATGCTGCAGCTCATTCACTCCCCGCCAGGTCTGGCAGCTGCGCTCCGCTCTGTGTGGCGGTGTATTTCTGGCCGGTGTGTGTATGGGGGGATGAGCGAGGGAGGCGCCGTGGCCCGGAGTGGGTGCTCGGCCCCGCCAGCCTGGTGGCACTGTGGCCCCAGACCCGAGGCACAGGTGGGGTTCCGGGAGCCCCACACCACACCACCTCTCAGTGTAGAGCCACCGTCTCTTGGAGGTACGGAGAAGGCGCCCAGACCAGTGGAGGAAGTGACGGAGGGGCAGGAAGCCCTGGTTCCTTAGACGCCCGCACTGGGCTCTGTCAGGGCCTTCACAGCCTGGAGCCTCTTCTTGGCAGTGGTTGCTGGGGAGTCACCTGCACCTGCCCAGCCCCGCTGTGATGCTGTCCTACAGTCCAACACCCAGTTGATCCCCAGTGACTGGGCCAGGCTGAGTCCCCAGAACAGTCAGGGTGCCCAGCGGTGAGGCGGGGGAACCCACATCCATGTCCTGAGCCTCTCCTGGTTCCAGTTCTAACCTTTCCTCACTTGGACCCCAGGCTTTTCCCAAAGTTTTTGCCCCATCTTAAAACACACACACACACACACACACACACACACACAGACACACACGCACGTGCACACACACACAATAGCTATCTGCATCACATGGAAAGGTCACTGAATTTACCAGAACATCTGGGTTCAGATGCTACCATCCTCCAACTGACACTGCCAACATCTAGCTCTGTAAGCCTGGACAGGGAAGGTATCTCCTGCAGCCTCTGCGGTCCCCTCTGCACACAGAGAAGTAGCCAGTGCCCTCCCCACCCATCGGTCCCGAGGATGATGAATTAGGAGTGCAGAGCAAACTGAGTTGCGAAGCGGTGATTACTGAGTACTTGGTGTCGCAGCCTGCTTCCTGGGGGCGTCCTTCTCCACCCCGGCTAAGCGGTGGAGGACAGGGTCGGCTCTGCCCATCCGAGCCTGCTCCGCGCTCCTCGCTCCGCCCAGAGATCTTCCCCACCACCAGCCTCTCTGGATCCGGAGCCGGAGGCTGGCTGGGCACACAGCACGGCCAGACGGCCCGGCCCTGGCAGCAGCCTTGGGAAGCTGGGGGTTAACGTGTGTGCGTCAAAGTTACATGGAGAGAAGGGGCCACGGCGCGGACCTCCTCTTGGTATCTCTGCCAGAGAACTGGACGGGAAGTTTAAGGACGCAGGGAGAGAGACGCGGGGAAGGTGCTGTTGGGCTGCTGTCCGTGACCCACAGCAACAGTGCCTGTGCATCTCCGGCCGGGGTCCTGTGCCGAGGCCCCGGCTGGTGCCAGGCGGGAGGCTGTTTGCGACTCTCCTTTGGCCATGGTGTTCCAACCCTCCCACCCCAGAGGCAGAGCAGCCGCCTTTCCCCTGCCGTGCAGATGGGGCCGGGCCGGGAGAGGAATGGACAGCGCAGTGCTGACCCTGCCCGGCACAGGCACAGACGGTCACGGTCTGCCGGGCGACGGGAGGCCCCGCCAGACTCCTTGGACTGCGACTTACCCTTGAGACGGGGCAGTCAGGAGGCAGGAACCAGCTGCCCACCACCCCCTGCAGCTGCAAGGAGTGCCAATGGCTAGGGAAGGAAACCCTGGGAGGAAAGAAGTGAATTCGCCTTACCCAGGGATTCGGAGGAATCGGGAACCCAGGAAGCGAGCTCGCGCTGTCTCCTGCTCCTACAGGTCTGTCAGGAGGGTTAGCTGCTCCAGTGCGGTAACAATGAACCCAGTTAAAGGGGAGGCGTGCAGGGGTTTTCTTCCCCAGGACTGTAACCAGGCAGCCTTAAAGGGGAGTAAGAGTAGCTTCTTGGTCCCTCTGCACCGCTCTCTCCCTCGCAGGGAGCTGAACCAGAGAAAGCTTGTTCCAGAGGAGCCCTTTGGTGGCAAGGAGTGTACGTGTGCGTGCGTGCGTGCGTGCATGCGTAATTGTGTTTGCATTGATGTGTGTGATGGAAAGAGAAAAAGAATGAAAAAACATCCAAGTATAGGTTTCCATGGCACCTGAATGGGTAACAGAAAGCCTGAGAAACGCTGCTGGCTGCCCTGGCCACACAGTTGCAAGACTGTGGTCTGGGCAGCTCCACCACCCGCCCCGCCCCGCCCCGCGTCTGCACTGCTGGTGGGGTCCTCGGTGTCTCTGTCTCTTCTGTGGCGGACAGAGGAGCCCCAGGTCGGATGGCCCCGCTGAGTACCTCGATGGGGCCGGCCCTCCAGAGGCACCGCCTTCCGGCCCAGCCCACCAGGCTCTTGAGGCCGCTTCTGCCCTCCCAGCTCTGCTGCCCCGTCTTCGGCTCCAGTCCTTCCCCTGTCCAGACCGAGTGGCCTCCATCCTGGCTTCTCTAGAGTTGATGCCCAGCATGCAGTGTCCACGCACGTCCACAAACAACCCTGGGTGCCACGTGGCCAATTCCAAGCCCTCCTCGCCGTCCAGCTCCGGGTCAGAGACCCCCAGCCCTGGCCTGCGCTGTCTCCTCCACTGTCATCCAAATCCATGCTGCTTCCGTGCACTTCCACCGCCCCCTGGAATCCGACTTTAAGTCAAGCCTCACACATTGCGTCCTGTTGTGTTTTCCGAAATAGTTACCTCTCGCACGGGTCAGTGTGGGCGCCACGTGTCCGACTCCCCCGCTGCCCCTGGCTCTTGGGTTTGACCTCCCCGGGTGGCCTCTCTCGGTTCCTTTCTCCCACTCTGCCGTGTGTTCAAGCGCGAGAATGTCGGCCCTGCTGCCTGGCCTCCGTGAGGCGTGAGGAGGCGCCGCCCCTCACAGCTTCGTCTCTGCAGCCTTGCTTCTGGCCTTTGCGGGCTCCGGGGGCGGATTCGGTGCCACAAGCCCTGCTCGGGCCCCGGGAGGGCTTGGAGGTTGGACTCCCTCCCGCCTTTCATGGACGGGTGCCTGGCCCGCTAGGTAGGAGACCTAATTAAGTGCCCTCAGTTCTCCCGTGTGCGGAATGGGATCGGCGTCAGACCCGCTCCTACACAAGCCGGGTCGGTGAGACACAACGCAAGTCCTCAGAGCAGAGACAGCTCGCGGTGTGCGCTGGCTGCCCTCTCCTCGCCCCCGTGGTTTGAATCTGTGGCAGGTGCCTCGGCAGCTTGTCCACTTGGTTGTCCCCGGGATCTGCGCACCCCTGAGTGTCTGGCTGGGTCACAGGGCTGCTTCTCACCTGCTCCCTCTGGTACGCTTCCTGCCCTGTGTGCTGCTCGCCAAAGCTAAGCAGCTTTTCTCCACCACGTCCTCTGCCATGATCTTTTTCTGCCTTGGAGCCCACTAACCGTGGACTGGATTCCCTAAACACCAGCCAAATTAAACCTGTCCTCCTCAAGTTGTGGGTGTCAGGCGTTGTGTCCAGCAAGGACGAGACAGCTGACCGCAGCGAGGCCACCACCCAGGTTCACACACTGAAACAGAATCGCCAGTGTGGTGGTGTTTGGGGTGCGGAAGTTGTAAGTTCCCGTGGAAGAGGCCCGAGAGCGGCCTTCTCCCCTCCACCGTGTGAGCACAGGGAGGAAGAGCGCGTGAACCCGAAGTCAGCTCTTGCCGGGCACCGTAGGCCGGGACCTCCAGCCTCAGACACTGTGAGCAGTGTGTTTCCGTCGTCTCTAAGCTGCCCTGTTTACAGTGTTTCGTTACAGCACCCCAAGCGGAGCAAGGCACGTTCCTGTCCAGCTTCCATTCTTGCTAGAATTATCTCAATAAAACATTGCTTTTCCTTCCAACACTGCCTACAGGACAGACTCCAAATACCTTTGCCAATCACTGAAAATACTCCACTGGGGCAAAATTACCCCACTGGGCACTCTGCTGTGTGCCAGTCAGACACTGACGTCTGACGTGCATCTGTTAAAAGTTCCCGAGCCCTGCCCATCCAGATTTGCCAGTGCAGGGTGCTCTTCCTGTCTCTGTCGGAGGAAAGGCCGCAGACTTAAAATCCAAGGAAAACTCGACCTCCTCCAGGAAGAAGCTGTGATCTGGGATTGTTCCCAAACCTTTTTATGTACACTTCTTAGGTGTGTCTGTGTGAATCTCCTAGTCTTTATTTTTCCTTTTGTGATACTGAGGGTGCACGCAGAGCCTCTGGACAGAGCTCTAGGCCCAGCCCTTTTAATTTTGAGTCAGAGTCTGCTAAGTTGCCCAGGTTGATTTAGTAAGAAGATCAAACTAGCGACCCTCCTGCCTCAGCCTCCCAGAGGCCTGGGATTACAGGCGTGCACCACCATGGCCAGCTGAATCTCCTCTGGTCTTAATCTTTTCCTGCCTTGAAATCTGGCTTGCCTTCACTTCAGCTTCCCTCCTCGAATTGAGAGTTGTTCAAGGGCAGGGGCTTTGCCTGTGTTCCCTTCCCTCTTCTCCTAATCCTCCTACCTTGTCAGGCTCTGTAAATGTCTGGATCTGATCGGCTCTCAGAGGTGAAAAGGCCTTCGAGACTCATTATAATAAAATAAAATTTGACTTGGTGGTTATTGCTGTGCTCAGTAAGTGATAAATGCTGACTTTCATTTGTACTGACAACAAACAAGTAGTGTCAGTGTTAACTTCCCAGATCCCCTGGGTGGGGCATCCCTGACCAGCCGCTGGCTCTTTCAGTGTGAACTCTGGTACCAGAGGCAGCCGTGGAAGCCCAGGATGCCCACATGTAAGGAAGTCTGCCTGTCTGAAGCCTTCCCTGGGGCACACGCGTGATACCCTAGCTCCAAAAATGATTCCTTGGCGCCAACTGTGCCTGCACTGGGGATAGGAAGCCAGCCCCAGCCCCAGCCCCGAGGCCCAGCACTTGGGTCGGCCAGTTCTGCTCTCTGCAAGGTGCTCTGGTGAGGTTGAATTGGGCTGATGACCCCAGCCCTCCGAAGTCCTCTCCGCTCCTCCCTCCCTGCACACTGCTGGCTTGGATGAGTCACTGAGCCAGGAAGGAGCCCCTCTGGGGGAAGCAGGAAGGGGTTCAGAAGGTGCCGGTGCCAGAGGCGGAAGCGTGGCCCCCAGGTCAGCAGCCAGGCCCTGCGTCTCAGAGGCTGGGCACAGGGCCGAGCACCCGCTGCTCCGAGACTGGGGAAAGGAAGGCAGCGGGACTCTGTCGGCGGGAGAGCGCCTGCACCACGCACTCACGCACGCACACGCGGACCGTCAGCTCTGCCCGCAGAGATTCCCTTACTGCTCTCGTCTTTGTATTTTCCCCAGCCAACGACTCAACCAAATATTTATGAAAACCTCAACTTCCGCACTCCAAAGGGACACAAGACTACAACGTGGGAAACAGCAGGCGGTCAGTCTCCGGCTGCTGCCGGCTGGAGACTCCAGGAACGGCTGCAGAAAAGACCAGACTCACTTGGGAGGCGTGGGGGAGTGCATGGAAATGCGGAGGCACTGTGCAGGGTGGTGAGAGACAAGGCGCGATGGCAGGAAATCCGCAGCCCCGCTGAGGGTCTGAGCTGGATGAGGGAGGGCAGGAGTGAAGAGGGGAAAGGCCAGGCCACGAGGTGGGCTGGCGGTGTCCGTAAGGCATCCCTGACACCGGACAGAACAGCACTGGGCCTGAGCGGCCCAGCTGCGTAGCTCACAGGTGGCACTGGCAGGGGGAGAAATAGCCACTGGGACCCCAGGGCCACATCTGACCACACTCAGCCCCAGATGAATGAAGCAGGTTCCTCTGTGGACGGGGAGCAAAGGGAGGCTGACTCACAGGTGCTCTCCTCACTTGGGTCCTGCAGCCTTTTCCGCTTAATTAGATCTCCAGGTTGCACTTATTGGGCAAACCAGTGGTGAGAGACGGTGACCTTCCAGGGAGGGAAAAGGAAGGGAGAGCAAATCAGAAGAGTCAGCTGCATGGACGCCAGAGAAGCAAAAGAACAGCACGTGTAAAGGTACTGGCGTAGAAAGGAGCGATGCAAGTGGGCTGACAGGAGCAAGTGCGGAGAGGAGAGTGTGTGCGGAGAGCAGCCCAGGTGCAGCTGGTGAGACAGGAGAGGGAGCAGACTGCAAGGCCTTGAAGGGATCCCGGGAAGGAGGGCGAGGGAGGAGAGCGAGGGAGGAGAGCTCGTTGGTACTGTTTAGGGAGACAGCACCGTCTCAGTCATCACTGCGAGGGCGCCGGCCAGTGTTCCACAGCCGACAGCAGCTGGGCACCTGCTGTACCTGCATCTCGGGGGCCTCCCTCGTCTGTCTGACCAGCTAAGGGGCTCGGTCCCCTGCCCAGTCCCTTGTCAGGGTCCAACGAAACAGGGGCTCATACGCAAACGCCTGAGCCCCGCTGCCCCTGCTGGGATCCCGTGGCTGCCCAGCTCCCCGCCGCTTGGGCCCTTGGCAGCTTGACTGCGCCCAGCACTGTGCTGCGTCTAGGGAGGAGAAGGATGTGGGCTCGTCCCTCCTAAAAGCGAGCTGCCGCTGCCCTCTAGCGACAGCATCCTGTCTGGCGGCCGGCCCGCGGCTGATGGGAGCACACCTTTTCCTCTAGTCTCCATAGTTTCTCCTTTTCTTCACTATTTCAAGGACCAATAAGGACGTGCCAGGTGTCCATTCATGGGAGAGGCAGGGCCAGGCACGCGGTGTCACCCTCCTCCCTCGCTCTCTTCTTCCTGGGCTCCCTCTGGAGGGGCTCTCGGAGGAGACACTCCCAGGACTGCTGCCTCCTGGAAACCTGCCAGGGGCTTTTCCTGAGCCCCACCCTGCCTGTGACAGTGACTCCAAGGCGCCACAGGGACTTTTCGATCCATTGTCCTCTTGTTCCCCACTGTGCCCAGCACAGAGAGGGTGCGAGGCAAGTGTTCTGCTAGGTGTCATCCCCAAGAGGCGCCCAGAGTCCTGACACGTGTGCCTGCCACCCTGTGCTGTAGTGAAGAGTTTAAGATTCGGGCAGCAGATATAGACTTGGGGCTGAATTTTGGGTGCTGTTAGTAGCAGTGAGATCCTAAGCAGTTTTCTTGACATTTCTTGGGCTTGAAATGGGTGCAAGGGAAAACTTCCTCCACCAGGGGTCAGGAGAATTACAAGGGAAGCTGTACATGACCCACTTGCAAAGTGCTGGCCCCAGGGGAAGGGCCCTTTAGGGCCCAGGCTGGACATGGGACACTGTGGAGGTCACTGCTCGTGCCCTGCTGTCCCCTCTCGGGGCACAATTCTTTCCCGGAAGAGGGACAGGGGAAGGGGAGTGATCCTCCGGGAAGTCCAGGTGTGCCTA